TTAGTCCCAGTGAATATGACACCAAACGTTAATGTGCCTATGGAGAAATCTGCTAGACACAGATGTAAAATGGTGAGAAGGATGACTAATTCCTCACATTTCCTGCATTTGCTTTTAAAAATTTGTTTTCTGAGACCTGTATTTGAGAATTTTTTACCATTGGGAATAGCTGCATTACTATCAGAGAGGATTTTTAGTTTATATGCTATTTGCACTTTAAGTATAAGATAAATTCCAAACTGAAAAGGTGTCAGTGGATTTTTTTTTTACTTATTATTTTTTACTTATTCAGTTACATTATTTACTGGAAGAATGGCCTTTAAAAATCTACCGCACCACAGAACATAAACACTCTGGCATTTTCTTATTCTAGCTTTCTGCTTGTATTTCTTTTATTTCCATGTTTCTTTTAGTGAAGGAAGTGTTGTGTTTAGTGTAGCAATTTGGAAATAAAAGTCTAGAAAGAGCTGGAAATATTTGAGATCTATCTGAAAGTAAAATAAAATAAAATAAAAATATTAAAGTAGTCTCAGTGTGAAATTAAGGTGCTTGAAGACCAAAGTAAAAAAGATAATTTAAAAAAAGAAAAAGTCTGTTTAAAATGTAAGTAAATATATTTAAAGTGGTGCCATTGTCTAGACTTCTGATCACTTTTGACTGATGTACAGTTTTTGTTGCTAATATTTCTCATTTTCTTAGAAGCCTGTGTTAGTGAAATGTTTTCTCAAATATTCCGTTTCTTGGCTTATCATATTATAGTGTTTTTAGTTTAGTTTTTTTTATGCTGCATGTATTCCCTGTGTTTACGGACATACTTCATATAAATAATTTGAGGAAGAAAATTTGAATAATCACTTCTCTCTGGAATACAGCCCTCATATTTGTATTAAAATTTAAATGAGTGTTTTTACATATCCCAAACTAGTACACCTGAAGATAAAGTAGTTGGGAAAACATACACACATTAGGGCTGTGTTCAGGTTGCTCCTGTAGAGGGACATCTATTCAACAACCTTTCACCAATTTCAGTGTATCAGTGTTTAATGTTGATGTACTTGAGGTATGATAATACACATCAGTAAATGTTGTTTACCAAGTTAAGAATGTCTACTAGTAAAATGATTTTAATACTTCTGAATGCTGAATACCCCAGAAAGACAAGATAGTGTTATGTGAAATGTACACGTTATGTTTTTGTAGGAAGATATATTTTGCCATTAAGGCTCTTTTTCATTCATGCAATTAATCCAGCAACAGTTAGAAACAGTCATAATATTTCTGTGATTGAAAGTGATGATAAAACCAGAATTGCTTCTGGGCATTTTCTTCCTCCTTAAGCTGTTCAGGACTAAGCTTCAATTGCATCTATTTGGAATGTTATTGAATTCTAAGGACAAGATTTTCTATGAAGGATAAAATGAATTGCAGGAATACTTTTACTAATTGTCTGGTATATTCATAAATAGTTTCTGCATTTTTTATGAAATTAATTTGTTTTTGGCTTTGTGCTGTTTTTTTTGTTGTGTTTTAATGTTCAGTTGTGTTGGCAGTTGCAACCGTAGTGAAGAGAATGTTCTGGTGCTCAGTATCAAAAGTTGTCATTCAGCAGTGAGGAAACACTATGTGCTTTGATCTCAACACTTTACTGTGATCTCAACACTTTACTGGATTAGAAAGAGTGCATCACAATCCCTTATGTATTAATACCATGTAGGACTTGAAATACAATCCTGAGAATATATTTCATACAGGAAGGCAGAGTTGCTTTTTACAAGTGTTCATTAAAAATATACTTTTCCATTGTTTATCAAGCCCACAAATGGCACTGTTTTGAGTGGAAAGATGCTTTGGTTTGTCTCTTATTTATAAAAGAAAAAAAAAAGCTTTTTTGATCTTGTTTCATGAGTTAATACAGAATACTTTTTCGTGTGTGTGTGTACATCTCTGTGTGTGTGTGAGCATGTGGTATCTGACAGGTAAAAGTTCTCCTTTGGGAAAAGGTGTGAACACTTAAATCTCAGGACCCAGCTAACTATGGGGAAGGTATTTAGGCAATTGAAGGGAATTTTAAGTATGTTCTGTATAGAAAAGTTTTTGAAAAGCGTAATTGCTTCAGTCTCTACAGCAGCTAAAGTACAAAATGTTCTGTGTTGTTTATTCATGATATTCAGTCAAAAATCAGTAATCAATCATGTGGAGAGCTATAGTTTCCCGTAAAGCCTAGAAGGAAACTTTTCTCCTTAGGGTTCATGTTCTTTCTCACTCCTCCACCTTCCTAATAAAAAAAATAAAGAGATTAAAATGGGATTTTCATGGTAGGCTAAATGAATAAGTCTTTTTATAGCTTTGTTTCCCATGTAGAGGGAGGGATAATTTGAGTCAGTAATTTAAAGGAAAGTGGGGGGGAAGAGGATTTTGAAGGTCCTGTTCAGCTATAGAATAGAAGATGCTTATTTACGATCATTCACTTTGCCTTTGCATCCCCTCTTTGCATTAGTCTTAACCCCCGTTATGAAGTAACTGCAAATTACTGATAAAATTGTATGTGAGATGTAGATTGTAGAAGAACTGGTATGAGTAAAAAAAAAAAGGCTAGGTAATTCCAAAGGCTGGTTTCTTGGTTTTCTCAGTTTTCCTTTTTATGTTTAACATAGAAAACGTTCGTAGGGTATGTGTTAAGAAGTTTAGTGCTTTCTCTCAGGGCAGTAAGAATGAACCCAGAAGACCTTTCAGGAGGGATTTGAATTTAGAATCATAGAATTATATAGGTTGTAAAAGACCATCAAGATCATCAGTTTAGGCATCAGCGTGACTTGCTGAATCTCAGTGCTAAAACATCTCTCTTAGTGCCACATCCACGTTTCTTAAATTCCTCCAAGGGATGGGAAGTACACCAGTTCCCTGGTCAGCCCTTTCCAATACTTGGCCCCCCTCTCAATGAAGAAATTCTTCCTAAACCTCCCCGGAGCTTTGTGGTCAGAGAGGAGATATAATCCCTGGCAAGGTCACCTGATGTGATCTTCTTTGCAAGCTCTCCCCTGCTGCTGAGCTGGACTGCTCATCTCACCATAACGCTCAGGTGCCAGAAGTTACATCTCCTCTCTGATCGCAAAGCCCCCTGGGTTATGTAGTTCTTCTCTTCCAGACAGGTGTCTGGAACTGGAGCGTTAACACTTTAACTCCCAGTGTACTACATGATGATATGATGTGGAATACCAATAACCAAAAATCATAAAACCATGACAACCAACCATTATTATTTTCTTTTCTCTTAAATAAAAGGACTGAGGCTCTCAAGACAGAATGTTAAGCTTTTCTGATTGTACATCACTTTCACCTTTTGTAGTTATTACCCTTTTTGTGACACTGAATATAATCCACCAATATTTGAGTGCTGATGAGCTTTCCTCTTGGCCAATTTTCTCCTTATTCATATTGTGGTTTTTTTTTTTTTTTTCATCCCAATCTCAATGATTCTATTAGTTTTTTACTCTTTTTTACTCCTTTTTTTTTTTTTTTTTGGTCTCTATATCTGTCGTCTTCTAACTTATCCTTACATTTTATTCCAAATTGAGGAATTGAAGATCACAGAAATTTCTTCTGATTTAAACTTTAAAAAGACAAAGAAGCTGCCAAATAGGTTGTACACATCTGATACTGTGTTCAGGTGATGTTACTTTCTAGTAATATGAGTGTATGTACCCAAGTCACTCACCAAGAAGAGCCTGAAAGCAATGAAAGTATGCTTAGAGACTAAGATGTCTTTCTTCCTGAATTTCTTTGTCTATGAATATATATTATATCCCTCATTTATGTATGAGACAGGGAAGGGGGGGAAAAAGTGTTGTGCGTCATTGAGTAAAGGGGTATTTTGTTTTGCATATGTTTCTGTTCCTAGCTACTCTACTTTTTATTTTGATTTTTTTTCCCTTTGCCACCTCAAGCTAAAAAACTTGCTCATTTTTTCTCTCCCAGCTGTTACTTTTTCTTAGAAACTGTTATTATGTCAGTGTCTTCTGTTCTGAATTTTTCCTTTGCTCTTCTTGTAATCTGACCCCTGGAAATTATACCATTGCTAGGCATGTGAAGAGATTCCATTTATGGTCTAAAATTAGCTTTCTAGTCTAAACTTGTCATCTAGGCAACCTCTGTAATCAATGGAGAAAGATAAATACTGCAATAAGCAATTCATCACGTTTTAAGATTATGTTGAAACTGGAGGGATTAATTGATGGTCTAGGTTACCTTTCTCTTTCTGCTGATTAAAGAGAGAGCTCTAGATGACAACCTTGGGTGAGATGCCTGATGGCCAGACAGCTAAAATTAGATGAGAAGTATCCTCCTATCTGTTGTGCAAGGAGCGATGTTGGTAATGCGTTGCCTTTGTAATGTCTGCTGTAGAGTGGTTAAAACTGTATAAAACTGAATTGCCAGAATTTGCAACAATGCCAGTTACATTTGATTTTTCACTAGTGTGTTCTGCAGTGTTGTGACAGATCCTAAAAATCAACCCTTTACTATTTTGTTAGAAGAGTTAATATTTAAATAGCTCTTGTTATTTTCCCACCACATTGCTAAATAAAATTATTTTCATTTTGACACTTTGAGATAGAAGGTTTAGAATGTTTTTGATGAAACCACATAGTACTATGCAACAACAGAATAGGATACAAACCTAATTACCTGAGGCCCATTTTAAAATTACAGGGATCTAATTTTACTGATAGATAATGTCGCTTGATATTACTGAAACAGGAGTGTAATCACAGAACGTGTTTGGATGCAATTTAATCAGTATGATAAAATTTGATGGTTAGTGCTGGACATAAGGAATTGAAATTATAAAAATACAGTTCGGAGATGCATATAAGACTAAATATGGATAAACATCATATGGACAAATTTTGTGACAGAGTTGTTATGACAAAATATTTATCAATATTACAATTATTCCTGTGTTAAAACTGATATTTAGACTTCTTATGTTTGACCTTTTACAGTGCTGTAACCTGCTGCTGAACCAACAAATTGGAAACAATTCATAGCATCAAAGACTTCAGACTGATGTCGCCTATCAAGTCTTCAAGCACTGTGAACTGAAACTACAGATCTTGGAGTTCGTGTCACTTGGGTCAAAAGGAATGCTTGTTTGATATTAACGAGGACTATCACTGCCATTATGACGAGCCAGGAGAAGTGGCTTAACCTTAGTCCTGGAGAGTTCTCTCAGCTTCAGAAATATGCAGAATGTAAGTACTTCCTGAAACATATTTTTACATCTTTTTACTTCCCAATTAATAGCTCAGAATTATGTGCTTAGAGGACAGAATCCTAAACATGAGAAATTAGATTTAAGTGGTAGTTTGTAGGTCCCGAAGGAGTTCAGCTAGATATATTCAGGAGTATTTCATAATTTTTTTTTTGTATGATAGATAATATTTTTGTAAACAAAGAAAATATCTTTAGGTTTAGGAATATTGTTGATTTATTACTAAAGGAAATATTTCTATACCAAGTATAAAAACTGTAAGTAAAATTAAGATTGATTCTTTTTTTTTCCTGCTTGTGGCAACATGACGTTTACTTAATTGTATCAGTGTAGTAATCTAACAGAATAACCATAAAATCATTGCTTTTCTAGAAGAGCTATTAATATCAGGATAAAGTGATTGATAAAATTGGATGGATTTTTTGTGTTCAGATTTGTGTTTACATATGAAATAAAGATGTGGTGGCTTTGAACTTTACTGTTTCAACCTTCCTTTGGCTGTCTGGAATAGGAAGGTGCTAGTTGTATGAAACTCTGATTTCTCTTTGCATAAATAGTTAAATGTCTGAGACAATTAGGGTAAAAATGCTAATTGTATATAAGGGTTGATATATAATTCCAAGAGAATACAATGAGATATGGGCCAACTTTTGTATCTGTGATCTATCCAATTAAATTCTCTTAAACACCTGAATAACAGTATCTTTAAATGTATAACTAAGACTTACAAATGTTTACAAATGAATTACAAAATAAGTTGGGTTTAGCATTTTTGAAGTGGTTACATTTTTATCTAACATTCAGAGGTATGAAATATTGTGACAATGGATATCTTTACTTATTACTGTATAGAAATTAAACTGTATGTGACTTTATGAAGTTTGAATATATAATTGCTTTGATACTCCATTATTTCTTTGAGCATGGGAAGAGTGAAATAAATACTATCAAATTCCTGGGTCTGGCTGGCTTGATGAAGTTTGATGTACCTTGATGTATTTATTAAAAAAAAAAAAAAAAAAAACTACAAAACCAACTAGACAACAAAACACTGCACACTTCTCTTCAGCATGTGTTACTAGTGGGTGTCCTTTCAGTATCTTTTCATAATACAGGACTGCAGGTTGCATAACCATAATATAGTTCTGTATCAAGAGTATCAGCTCTTCTGTATTTGTACTGCTAGTTACAGATGGTGAAACCAATTGTTAAGGAATTGGTGATAATTCATACTTTAGTGTGAAGCTGAGCAATTTTGTGACTTACTGTTTATTAAAAGTTTTAAAAGAAATGGGAAGACTAGATGAGGCTTCTAGTTTTTGAAATAAAATACCCCATAGTACCAAAAAAAGCTTTGGAGTCGCTTGCAGAAAGGAGTGATTATCTGAATGCCAGAAGGTATTATAGGAAGGTTAGACCTCTGGGAGGTGTATTGAGACTGGAAAGTCTTGGTTCTGAGTCCTCTGCCTTGCCTTGCTTTGTGCTTAGGAGTAGGTTTCTTTGAAAGATTGTGAAATACAGTAGGGAAGGTACATCAAGGATTCACTTTTCATTCACCTGCTGATAATTGGTATTGTCATTTGATTCTCATTCGCTCAGCCTTTCATTTAGTTTGGTGTATGTGCCTTACTTTATAAACCTTAACTTGAATTACATGATATTAACATTGAAAGTTTTAGGCATATATACTTAAATTTACAAAATATAGTCTATCAAATGCCTGTCACCTGAGATGTCAGTCACTTTTGGGTCATATTGTTAGTGGCAGACAATCACATCTACTTAATGAGGTCACTAGAACCAGAGTTACTTTTGTACAACTAACTGAATAGAATTATTCTCTTAAGTTTACTGTAAAAAAAATCCAATATATGTTTTAAATCTCTGAGATCAATGTATGTATATATATGATGATAAGACACATCATAAGACTGAAGTAAATTAGAGTTTTTCTGATATGTATATTAGTGTACATGCATTTTGGCGTGCAAATAAAAAGTAATAATTCTGAATGATAAGGACTAAATTAAAAGAAGACATGAAGAGATACTTAAGCAAACTATTGGAGAGGAGCATGTTAGACGAGACTGCATCAAAATAGGGGTAGCCAGCAGGATAAGGGAGGTAACTGTAATCCTCTGCTCAGCTTTCATGAGGGCCCATCTGCAGTATTGAATTTAGATCTGGGGACCTCGACACAAGAAGGATGTTGAAGCAGGTCCAGAGCATGGCCACAAGGATAATCAAAGGACTGGAGCGTCTCTCCTGTGAAGGTGGAGGGAGCTGGACTTGTTCATCCTGGAGGGGAGAGGACTCCAGGGCGACCTCATTGCAGCCTTCCAATACTTAAAAAGAGCTTATAAGTAAGATGGAGACAACTTTTTATGTGATCTAATAGTGATATTACAAGGGGAATGGCTTTAAACTAAAAGAGGGGAGATTAGGTTAGATATTAGGAAGGACATAATTTACTCAGAGATTGGTGGGGCACTATCACAGGCTGCCCAGAGAAGTTCTGGATATCCCATCCCTGGAAGTGTTTAAGGCCAAGTTGTATGGGGCCATAGGTAAGCCCCCATGATGGGGGAAGCAACTAGATGATTGTTAAGGTTCATTCCAATCCAAACCATTCCATGATTTGATGGTTAGCCAGAGTTAGAATTCAGAATTTACAATTAATACCTCTGTACTATGTTGTTGTGATTGAATATGAAATGTTGGTACTAGGTGGGTGATTAACAGCATCTGCTATAATTGATTCAAGACAATTACCTTAAATAGGTGAGTCCAAAGAGAGTGCAAGCTCAAGTGCCTTATACTTATCAGTAGGAAGCTTTAAGCACAGAATATATTTTGTTATTATTTATTTGGAACGTATGTAAGTTTGGTTAAAAATATTTTCTTGCTTATTTACAGGGAGGAGTCAATATTCTGCATTGTATGTGCCTATTCACCCATAAAGTATTCTTCCTAAAATGAGTTTGCCTGTGTTCTGCATGTTAGCAGTATTGGTATAATTATTCGTACAGTTACTAATGTATTAGTTAGCTATTAGTACAGTTTGTCTTCCAGTTCGTTCTTCTTGTGTGAAATTCACGATAGGCCTTCTACTTCTGTATGCAGATAATCTCCTTGATGTCTTATGAAAAAGTTCCTGCCACATCTTATTATATGTAGTATGATTATCAGCTTTATATAAGTTTATTGCCTGTTGAACACAAACCCTGAATTTAAAATATCTTTCCTGATACATACCAGCTTTTTTGAGTATCCATAAATGTAACTGAACAGCAGAGGAGAGTATGGATTCTTTACCACTTGGCTCTGGTGAGAGAACATTCTATACTTTCTCTCTAAACAACACTTGGAACTTGGCAGTGTGTAAACATCTTCTAGTTAGTCAACATCTTCACAACAAACTAATTTACTGTAATTATGATTAAGTGATATAATGTCCTGTTAAAGGACGATATTTCCACAATCCGAGGAATATCTGTCTATAATTTCATTTTACAGAATTATTTTTCAGCTCAAGCTGAGTCAACTTTATATTTGCAGTATAAGACCTTTCTTCAAGTAAGAATTGGGAAGTTCAAGCGAGTTTTTGGAATGGCTTAAATATTACTTTAAAATGTAGAAAAATGTCTTTGTAGAATTCAAAGAGCCTACTAATTAATACTTGGCACTTTGCAATTAGTTTGCATGTGTGTGGGTTGTTAGTGTTGTTTTTTTTTTTTGTGAATATTTTTTTAAGAATAATTATTTCCAGTGACAGTTACTCCTCTCTACTGTTCTGAAGAACAGTAGGTCTTTACTTAGTTTTCTCAGAAGAGAAAATGAGAACTGAGACAACTGGGATGCCCATTATGTAGTAATAATGTTGCCTACACCAAATACATATACTAATGCAAATACATGTACTAAGAAGATATATTTTTTCCTTTAGATTTCATGATCAGGTTTACTTATGGGAAAGAAGGTGAAAAGATGTAGGGCATTTTTGCATAAAAATCTCACTTAAAGTATATAGGATAAGGTAGATATGGGATTAGATGTTTAATGCAAAGATATATGAGTCAGGGGTTGTTTCTTCTGAAATATACACTACCAGATATATACACAGTTCTGTACTGCTCCTCCTAGCAGCTTAAATTGTAGGGACATTAGAAAGAAGCCATATAAGTAGTATCACTGTAATTATTATCTATAGGGTAAATTCCATCAGTTTAGAGGTTTTTGTTTGTTTGTTTTGTTATTGTATCATCAGTCAAAAGAACTTCAGTAAATTCATGTTTGCTATAGTCCAAATTATAGTGATTAAAAATAAAATGAGACTGTTTCAAGATTTAGCTGGGCTTTAGAAGAAAGAAGTCCTTCCTTTAGTAGGCACAGAGAAGCAAAGGAAAAAGCCTCTGAGCTCTGGCAGCACATATACTCCAGGGAAATAGCTTTGTTTTTTTTGTAGTCCTTTTGAATTTGTCAACAAAATGTGCCCTGAGGACCAAGGCTGAAAAAGACTTTTTGCAAAATTTTTGGCAGTTTTTTTTTTTTTTTTTTTTTCCCCAGGCTGTTGGAGAAGAACTTTGGCAAACAATCACAGCCTGATTGCTACTGAAATGGCTATGAGAACAGGAACAACATCAACAGCTTCTCCTTTTTGTATACCATCAATTGCTACTGTAGGAACTAAACTGTGCAAGAATATTGTAGGGCAACAGGAGTCAGAACTTGTTGTGAAAAAGATTTCTGAAGAGAAAGACAAAAGCCAACAGAAGTTTTAGTCCGAAGTTAAACTGCCAGAGACTCTTGGGTGGGTTTAATTCTGTGGCCCTCACAGATGGAAAATATTTTCTTTTACAATGGGTATAAATGATAACCTGCAGGGAACTTCATACATGTGGCACATGGCCACCAGCAGCACTGAAAGCTCTGGGCTATTACCCGGTCCCTCAGATGATCCCATGCTTCTGGCACTGCATTAGCTTCTGCTAATCATAATGAGGGACTAGGCCACATCAGAGAATACAGATTGCTGACAGCAACTATTTTTTATTGTTTTTAAAGGGAAGAGAAAAAATTGCTAGTGATTACTGAGAATATTTTTACCCCTTGTACTAGGTTTTAGGGGTATGAACTTTCTGCCGCTGTTAGTAAAAATGAAGGAAATGAGGTTCTTTTAAGGTTTTCTTGGAGAATGTAAGATTGTAGTGGTCCCAGATTGCACAGAGAAAATATTGTAGAAGAAACTGTTTACAAACCCAAAATTTGAGCATTTAGAGTCTCTGGCCATGCTTAATGTACGACGAATACGATGCTGTTCCTTCATCAGGTGCACCTGGTTGCCTCACTAGGAGATGCTAATTTACTTGCCAAAAGTGCTGGGCAAGCGTCTCGCACTTCTGTGTTAAAGAGTGAAAAGGTGATCCCAAAACCTGGAGGAGATTGTAATGTTTACCCAGTCTCAATGAGGAAAGTAACTTGATACAAATAGGGGAGGAACAACGAATCTTTGTTTTCTCCTTTATTTTTAGGGTAAACAAACTATTTTCTTGATTATGCTACTAAGTCATCAGTGTTTTGTTGAGGTTGAACTGGCTGTTTACATGGCTGATAAGAATGAAGACTGTCAGATCTCTAGCCCTGTCAGTACTAACAGGCTTGTATTCACTCTTAGAGATGCTGATAGATCCACCATTCTTAATATAGTCAGACTCCCAGGTGCTGGCCTTTGTTGCAGTAGAAGGGAATGGTGCATCAATGACAATTTGTTTCCATTTTCAAGGGTATCTTTGCAAGAAACAAATTGAAACTCTTCCTGTGAAGTCCAAACAAATCCTAGTTCTCAAGTTTCTATGGAAGTGAAATTCATTGAATGTGGTGACTGGTGGTGGCACAACCTTTCTAGAATCCTGAAATGCAAATGGAGTCAACTCACCTTGCTTTCTGTTTTCTTTGACAAAAATAATGATTTCTTTCTAAAATAGAATCTAAAAAGATAAACACTGCCTATCTTTAAGGCTCATTATTGCAGCATCAGCTTTTACTGGCTTTAAACACCTGTTGTGGTTATTACAAATGACATACGGTCATAAAGTTACTGAATGTATATTTATACACTGTAAAATGTATGAACATTGATTATGCCTTTGCTGTACTTCCTGTGTTTCTACGTATCTTCTGTATTTATTTTCATTATGGTTTGGTTGTTTCTATGGACATTTGCATGTAAATAGTAAGAACCTTTTGTTTCTTAAAAGTTTGTCTGTTTCTACTGCTTATTTCCTATTACAGAGATTTGGGGGATAATTCATTTGGTTGCTGTAGAAATGGTTCTGATGTCACAAACATAGGATTCTGGTTTACCAAGCTCTGAAAAAATAAAGAGTGGAGAATGAACTAATTATGGAGTCACGTGGCTGAAACTCAGCTCTGAGTAAAAGCGTGTATTTTTAGTTCTTGTGCTGTACAAAAGCGTGAAAAAAGGTATAAATGATTACAATCCATGACTCATCAGGCAGACTGAAAAAGTAGCTTTATGAGAGGGAATAATTCCTCTTGGCTTTTATGGAATTAAAGTACAAAGAACCAGGAGATTGTGGGGCTTCCCTCAGCATTATGCCTTCAAAAAGAAGGGGAGAGCAGCTCATTCACTGAAAAAATCGTACATTATTGTTATTGTTTATGCTGTTCTGTCTTTTACGGATTTCTGATGAAAGAAGTCAAAGCATTCTTCTCTGTTTCTCTTGAAAACAGGAGAAAAGTTGCTATTGATGATTCAAAATGGAAGATAGAATCTTCTATTAAAAAAAAAAAAAACAACACAACTGGGCTTAGGGCTTCCTAATGGTGTCTCTCAATCTCTCTCCCTGAGCATTTTGCTGGGAATGAAGAGCCCTGGGCTGCATTTCTCTCAGTTGTTTTCTGCTAATTAAAGAAGCAAAATTGAATGTTAAATGTGCTTGTAATTACGTTTTCATTGTTGTTGTTTTTAAGCACTGAAAATATGTTGCATTTTTTTGTGGCCTTGGAAGATTATTATTGAATGTTATGGTGTGCCACTGCATGGTTCTGTATTTGCACTGCAGAATTTAATAGCTTTTTGAGGATATTATTGACTACTACATTTATTTTTAGAAATCTCAAGTTTAGTGGAGTTTATATTTTATTATTTTATTAAAGCTTGCATGGAAGCAGAATATTATTCAATAAGTGGAATACTGAGGAAGGAACTTGCGATTAAATTCCAATATAACATTTTTTCAGTTTCTGAAAATAAGAATTCTTAATTTTATTTTTGAAATATGATTATAAACAGTTTGCACTCTAAAGGCACTCCAACTAATTGTAGCAGTAATTATCATTATTGATAACAAATTTGTTTTGGAGAGTCTATTTCCTAAAATTTATTAAATGGCCTAGTAATAGATCAGATGTTCTCATGCATGAAGTCATTCTGAATAATATTAAAATGATTCATTAGTTGTTTATTCATTTTAACAGAGGACTGTTAAATAAATACTTCATTTATGCTTGAAAGTCACTCCATTGGGGGGGAAGAGAATCTATCATCCCTATCTGTATCAGAACAGATTATTCACATCACTGCTTTGAACGAAAGAAGATACTGTATAAAATACACAGGTTCCTGTACAATAGAGGTTGAAATGAATGGAAGGAAACAGTGTAAATTTTAGATAGTTGTGGGAGGAGATGGGAGTACTCAGTTTATGTACTGAGTATATGTCTGAGAAGTTCACTGAAGAGAGATCCTTCAGTGCTGAATAGGCACTTAGAGTTGAAGAAATTATTAAATGATACTAGAGATGATGAAAGGGAGTTGAAGAGATGCAATGAAAACAAGTCAGCAGTGAGAAACATGAAAGATCAGAGCAGCCAGAGTGCTAAATTACACAAATTTGATTCTCAAGTACATTACTGTAGTTTCAGGCTAAAGTTTCAAATAGATGGTAACTGTACGATTTCAGCAGCATGAACATAGGACAATTCAGAATTCCTGTGATTATGAAGCCTTGAAGAGGAAAGAACTATTGAAAGAGTTGAAAAATCAAGCCACTGAGGGAGATGGGGGAGGACAAAATTTTCAGTCCACCATTTTTGGTAGATGAAATTCTATGGATCCGTGCTATTTATTATTATAGAATTGCATTGAGCTGAGTTAAGGAGAGAAACAAAACAGATCTCAGAATGGAATAATTAGGACAAAATGAAAATAGGCTTTTAAGGACTTAGAATGGTAAAGGGGAGCCAAAACAAAGCTCCGTACCAAAAGCTTGATTTTGGAAGTTTCTTATTCAATGTTTGGGTGTTTGGTCATATAAATGATAATTATTTTTTAATGAAAAACAAAATGTTAGACTGAGAGAAATGACCTAGGACAGGCGGAAGAGAATTCAAGCAGAATGCTAGTGGCTAGCCAAGTTTTATCTTGTAGCAATAATTTAGAATACTCCATACAAGCCTGTTTTCTGTAGAGAGCCCTGTAGAAGTTTTTATAATAATTATTAAAATATGTGAAAATGTGCTCAAGCACTATTATTTTGAATTCTAAAGGTTGACTACCTATTAAGCTAATTTTGGCTAATTTTGGAGAGTGAGTCCAAGTAAGTGCTCAAGCTGGAATTTGAAATGTCACTTGCATTTCTTTTGGGATCCTTTTATATAATAAATCAAAAAATATTATTCAGAATTACTTTAGTACATAAGTTGTAAGTTAATTAGGAATCAGATAATAGGGAAAAGAATTATGACCTATTTGTTTTAATTCTAGAAACATATTTTTATATTTTTCTTCAGACACAGTGAATATTGTCACACTGTTCTTCAAGTCCAAACTCATTTTTTTTTCAGTCTTTCTAAGATGTGATACTTCCAGGATAGTCATGATATCTCCAAACAATATCTGATGTGACCATATATTTTAAAATTATTAGTGCCTTAAGAGGATTCTGGGAGTTTGGTGGATCCATAGTAAGAATGATGATTGTAATTAAATTGTCCCAAATTGTACAAAAGCAATTTTCTGGAGTATTACCTGGTGTAACTATGTTATTAAATTAGAGCACACACTGAATTTTATTTTTTTTTTTGATTAGGTTTCAGTAAATGAGTACCAGAGTAGCACTGGCTTCTAATAGCACTCTAGAGATGAAATGACTACCTGTACAGGAGGACCACTAAGCTGCTGTTCATATTGCAAGCTCTCCAAGGCAAGCTCTGCCCTTAAGACAAATACTTCGCAGTTCTGTCTACACAGTGGGAGCTTTAGCTGTTAGTTCTACAATTATTTAATTTTGTCACGTCAAAAGTACTTTAAATTTCATTGCTTTATATTTCTTGGTTTTCCTCCCATTAAATCTATTTTTTTTTTTTTCTTAGGAGTTTCTTATTTTTCTCCTTTTCCAACCCTGTTTTGTTAGCTACCCAGAAAACCTATGTACTGTCTTGGGCTAACAGAAATAAAGAAATGATCCAATAAATAATCCAGCTATCTTTACAGCTTAGCATTCTGTCCCTGGGAGGCGTGCATTTGAAAAGTTTTATAAGAGTTCCAGGCACAAATATGTTAATATGTGTTCAGGGTCTGTTTTAACATTAAAAAGCAGTACTAAATTTTGCGTAATTGAACACAGTGGTTGCCTAACAATCACATCTCCATTTTATTATTTCAGTGGAAACTAGCAATATGGCCTTTGCACTGCAGAAAGTCTTTGATTTGAAGCTGAGTCAGTCAGACTTCCTTGAGTATTGTGTTGCTTTTTTTAAAAAGTTGCACTTTTAACAGCATATGTTAACAAATAAGGAATGTATGCTATTGCTGTATTTTTGTATATTAAACCTGCAAGTTGATAAATACTTTAGGTTTTGTTCTGGTGGATGTTATTTAGGATATACACGAATGACTATTTTATTTGAGAGGAATGCCCACTTCACATCTTATTTTGAATGCACATAGTGTTGCTCCTTTCCATGTTGCATCCTTTTTTTTTCCCCTCAGAAGTCATGCAGTTCAAGCAGTGATGCACAGAGTCTCAGTTCATATCAGCTTTCTTCCAGTGATAAGTTTGCATTTACTTGCTGCTGGGTGTTGCACAAAGAACAGTGCCAGAGAGTTGGTACATGCAGTGTTCTGAGGTGGTGGTGAAGGCAGACACAGTTAGGGTTTTTAATTGTGATTTGTCTTGTTTGTAAAAGCAGTTGAGATTTTTTTTTTTTTTTTAAGTGCTTCTCTTATTCAGACTGCCAATACATCACTATGAACTTGTCTGTAATAGCACTTTAGTGTTTAGGCCGAGCTTCTTACAGACTGCATGCCTCATACAGATCCATATCTCTATATCTTCAAAAATACAGTGGTAATAAAAATAATAAAAAAAGCCACATCACCACAGTTCTCAACTTAAAAGGGTGAGAATCTGCTATCTCTTACAGATTGACAAGCATTTCTGAAGATTTGATTTTTGCATTGTTTTACTAAGTACTTGTGCATGTCTGCTCAGTCTTTTCCACAAACACTGTCTCAATGCCCTATTCTTTGACAATTGAATCCTATGTTGTTGTTGTTTTTTTGTAATTTTGTGAGATAAATGAATTATATTCCCAATTTCTCCCACCTGGTTGGTTTTTACAGAAAAAAAAAAAATAGTTATTCCTGTTTAAAACAAGCAAGAAAACCCATTCATCTCTTTTCAAAGAGGAAAAAGAAACAAAATCCTATTTCAATGCAGATTTTTGTTAATTATGTATTTTTCTTTCCTTAATCAGTTTTTAGTGTTTGTAGTGTTTATGCAGCACATCAGTCTCATCTTAAACTTTCATGAAGCAATACTTCACCGGGAGGGATTCGCACTTCTACTGATCTTTGACTGTCAATAATAGTCTTCCATATAATTAGGAAAGATTGATTTTCTTAACATATATACTTCAAAACTAGATTGTTACTGTTTTTATTTATTTATTCTTGCTGTAGATACTTAGTTTAAAATAAAGTTCTAGCAGCTTACAGTGAATAATTTCAGTGATGGAAGGAACTTCTTTAAACTGGGTGCTACACTGTGCCAAATGACCATCTGTTCTTAGCTTTGCAGTTAGCTATCAGAGCTATCTGGGACTTCTTGAACTGATTTTTATGGTTGACATAATATTTATATATTTATTTATTGATGGACTTGGACTAGTGATTCAGATAGTCGTTTTAATGGAATGTGAAAGGTTCTGGTCCATCTCTATATCCAGATCTGGAAATTCAAATAGCATTTTACAACTCTGTAATCATTTTGTACAAGTCTGGTTTTGGAGTAGTTTGGTTTTTCTTGTTATTGTTTTCATTAAAAAAAAAAAAGAGAAAATTTATCTTGAATCCCCAAGTTTCATAATTTATTTATTTTTACACAATGCTAATTACTGCATGAAATGTGTTGTTCTGTCTGAAATTCATTTATTATCAGTATTTCTTCTGAAAAGACAATCTGATTGCATTTTATCACTCTTTATTTTTTGATCACATAGAACACTGTAGCTTTTAAAATGACATGGATCCTTTCCCTGTAAAAATGATGCCAAAACATGGAGAAAGTGAAAAAGGAGATGGATTGTATTAGCTGCTTGTTTTAAATTAAAAGGATTGTGAGTATCCAGCCTATATGATAAGTGTCAAGAGTAAAAGACAGTTAGGAGGCACAGGTGAAAAAGACACTGGCAAATAAGACAACTGCAGAATTTTGGGTAAAACAGAATGAAAATGTTGACAAAGAGAAAAGGTTACAGATAGGCAAGGTAATATGCATGAAATTATCGAGATTTTTTTTTTTTTTCTTTGAGATTTAGAATGGAGATAGATTTAGAGTCAGGGCAAAGGTAAAGTGAGAATAAGAAAAAAAAAAACAAGCATACAGTATTCCTGGAATGGAGAGATTTGCTTTCTATATTCTCAAAAAGGGAAGAAGTAATACTGTGTAATCAAATCTTTAATCAGTTATGTCCTAAATCACATGAAAGCTTTTTAACAACTGAAATGATAGCTGTTCCCTTCAGAGTTGCACAGAAGTCAATTCTTGAGCTTTGCAAAGTACTCATAGGGCACACAGCAAGCTGAATACAAAGCTTTCATTCTGATTTTCCAGCTTTTTCATAGTTAGAATTAGCTCCATATGATACACATTGTTGTATTTGTGATTAAAGTTTCCAAGGAATTACATGAATTCTGATAACAAAAAAACTGTATTTTCTGTACACATGGTGAATGGCAGCCGTGTTGCCCTGCAGAGCTTTGGGGAAGCTCCTGCTGCCTCCAAGCTATTGTCAGCCTGGTTCACACTCCCAGCAGCAGCTGGCAGCTATTTCCCTTCCACTGCTTTTCAGACAGGCGTTTCCATTTCCTTCCCTGCTGGGATTCCTGTCCTCCCATCTTGCATAAGTGCATGTTCAGTCCCTGCTCAAGCAGTTTTGCACTTCTGGTGAAGGTCTTTGCTCTGACCCAACTTGGCAAGGTGATGAATGAAACTGAAAGCCTGTGTCATTCCAAAACATTGTGCATATCTGTGTTGTGGACCCTGACTTGGATCATCTTACAGGAATAAAAGGCTGCTTGGGCATTTCCCAGGGAAACATCATGTTTGTGCTGCACCTTGCAGTGTGGTGTAATGATTCCTAAACTATAAACCAGTGCTGAACTCCCACCAAGCACAGCTGGAGTGTATTTTCAGTTTATTTTGGGAGCTCTAGAATTCCTCTGGTGACCAATTCAAGCCAAGCAGGCTTGGGGCATACAGAACAGAAAATTATTTTCGTTAAACAAAATGTGACATTCCTTTTGAAGTATTTCATTGGGACATTTACAGAATGAAGTATATCAGTATTTTATTTCAAAAATTGAAGTGAAATTCAATTGTCAAAGGTACATTATGAACATTAGCTTTATTGGCATTTGTTATGTACTGAAGCAGTAGGATATTTTCTTTTATAACAAATAAACTTTCTAATACATTTTTCTTCAGGTTGTTTGGATTGGGCAAAAGGAAGTAGTTTGCACAATTTTAAAATAGATTTAACATTCAGATATAAGTAAAATCAACACAGGGATATTTTATTTAGATAATTTGTTTGAAGCTGCTTTAGGAAATAAATTTTGACTTTTTCTTAACTGTCTAAAATAATTTACCCTATTGTCTAGCCATTTTATTTGTATTCATATCTTTTTTTTTTTTTTTTTCCCCTTTGGATTTAGAGTTTGTTAACGTATGCAGTTAAAAGGGCGTAAATCACATGTTCTTCATTTTAGTGTGATTTACAGATTATCTGATTAGCTGTCTGTGAGTGACATCAAGCTTGAGGTATTCTGACAAGGATGTGGCATATTTCTTAATGGTGCCAAGCATTGTGCGTCATGATATTTAGGAGACTGAGTCTTCATTGCATGACTTATCTTGAAGCAATGATCTCAGACATTGAAAGCCAGTAAGTCATTTACTCTCTCTGTCATTTTTTTAATGCACAGTCTGGGATAAGCTCTATTTTACTAAATGTACACAGTAGTAGTAAAGCATTTAAACAGAAATAAGTCAAATCTGTTAGAAATTTCATCAAAAATGTGGCTATGCTTTTCTTATGTGCCAAAAAAGAGTCTAAAGAGTCTCTATCTCAGCTAAACATTTTTATTTTATTTATTTATTTTTTTTAAGTAAGAAAAGGAACAGGAACGTTACGGGGCTGGGGCTATAGAAAAATGGGATCAATGCAAATGCTGAGCAAAAATGGCATATTCTATATTTGTTAATAATTCTATTTTTGGGAAAACATTATCTGCTAAATAGCATTCAATTTATTGTGTTTACAGTTGTTTTTTACAAGTTTGCCTACTCATTGGTATTTAAAACATTGTAGGTTCTATTAAAGCACGGTGCCATAGCTCAAGGAAAACCATTTCCTTATCTTCTTCTCAACTCATCCCCATAGATGCTAGATTATCTTTCCTTGAGATAAAGAGTCTCAATATGCATCTTACATCTTTTCATACTATACTGTCTACTGTGTATAGAACTTACTGCATGCCCAGCAGAATTCAAGACTTCCAATGCTGTATTTGTGGTGCTTTTTCTCCCTCCCAATAGTAGATTCCTTGGATTAAAATGCCCTAGAACAACCTTTTTACAACAGAAATCATGGAATTTATTGCTCTTGTATTTCTAAAATTAAGTATAAAACAGCCTAGAAAGAATAGGAAAAATCAAAGGAGTCTTTTTCATCAACACTTGACAAAGCTCCTAAGGAGCTCTGAAGTACATGAAGTTGAATTGTTTTTGTCTTTTCTTTGCTGACTCCACTGTCCTATACTAAATCAACCAATGGTTTTTTTCCTCCTTTTTTTCCTGAAGTAAGGCAATGCTTGGTCTCTACAGACAGCTGACAGATTACTTGCATTGCATTTACTTGGAATATAACTGTACTCCTTTTCAATTTCTGTTCCCCATTTATTCCCAGCAAATTTATGGCAAACAAATCTTTTCCTTTTCTTTCCTTAAAGCAAACTCTTTTAATAAATTAATTATTATTACGTTATTAAACTAATAATTATTAAATCAGACTTACAGGGCAACCTACTATTGAGCTGCAGGTTAATGATGAATACAAAAACTTGGGAAAATAAAAGGTTCTGCTTGCAATTATAATTTCCTGTTTCTGAATTTCTAATATTAACTTCTGAAGCTTTTTATTCATATATAGAGTATTTGATGACATATTTGTATTTGTACAGTATTTGCTTTGGTCTTTTTTCTGGAAAGAAAGTCATCAGTTTAGATCTCCAAAACAAAGTTAAAATCTCTTGAAACTTGAATACAATCTCATCGTTTTCCTAGGTTTTTTAGGTCTTTATAATTGAGATTGCCTTGCTGAGAGCTTATTCTCTTAAGATGTATTAGTTACTCTTCTTCTCTGCATTATGAGCGACAAAAATAAGGTGAAAGAGGGGAAGACTGTCAGAAGAACTAATTTTTCTTACTTTTTCAGCATTGTTTTTTGCAGTTTGATTTGCCTCTATCATTCCCTCTCCTCAAACTGTATTTGTCTTCTGTTGTTCCTTTTATCCTAACTCTTCATCCTTCTTTCTCTCTCATGTCTCTTCTGATTTCTTCTGTCAGATCATCTTTGAAATTATCTTGGTCTTAACATGCTCTGGATGGTATCTCTGGTAAATCTTGTGAACTGATTCATTTATAATTAAGTAAATAAACCTGTCCTCTGTGAGTGTACTGTGGCAGAATGGATTAGGAAGGGATATAAATTTGAAAGCTGGAACCTGGGAGAGTTCTTAGTTCATTGCAACAGCAATGACTTTTGTGTATGGCAACATTAAGATGATGAATGCCTGTGTCATGTTACTGGTATTTTGTTACATATTAAGCACTCTATGTTTTACAGAGTTAACTAGGTCAAGTAACCTAATGTTTTTATAATCTCTGTGTCTTTAGGCTGACTGTTCATAAAACATTCCTACAAGCTTACATTGTTTATATCAATCTTACATTAAATTTATCTTTGAAATATACATTAGGTTTCTCTTGGGGTCACATCTTTGTAGTTTGAAACATAGCTGAGAGAAAAGATACTTGAGCAAATTGATTTATATCCTTTCTAATTTTTTTTCCCCAACTGTGCTA